TCACTATCACCACTCCTATTCAATGTTCTGGAAACATTAGCCAGAGCAATTAGACAAGAGCAAGAAATAAAAGGAATAAGGACAAGAAAGGAAGAAGTAAAATTATCATTATCTGCAGATGACATGATACTCTACATGGAAGACCCCATTTTAATGCATCCCAATGAAAATACCAATACCATATCTCTTAGAATTAGAAAAAATAATCTTAAAATTCATTTGGAAATGGGGTCCAGAATACAAAAAAAAAAAAAAAAAAAATTCTGGGCAACAAAGGCAAGGCTGGAGGCATCACAATCCTTGACTTGAAATTATACTGTAAAGCTACTAATTATACAGGAAAAAAAAAAAAAAAAGAAACAGACCCAAGGATCAATGGAACATATTAGAAGTTGCAGAAACAACTCCAAATATACTCAGCCACCTTATCTTTCACAAAGGAGCCAAACACCTTCAATGAAAGAAAGCCTCTTTAATGGTGCTAGAAAAACTAATTTTCCCCATGCTAAAGATTTAAACTAAACCCATTTATTTCACCATGCACTACACTAAAATGGAAATGGATCAAAAGATCTAAATACGAAAACAGAAACACCAAATCTACTTGAAGATAGAGTACACAGAACTCTTGAAGACATTGGTGTAGGCAAAGACTTTATGAACAACACTCCAATCAAACAGGGAATATCACAAAGAATCAACACTTGGGATCTCATCTTATTAAAAAGCTTTTACAAAGCAAAAGAAACTATCAGCAGAATTAGACACCAGCCACAGTGTGGAAAGACATTTTTTCCAGCTGTTCCTCAGACAAAAGACTAATAATATCTAGAATAATAAAGAATTCAAAAAAATCAGATCCCCCAAACTTAAAGACCCAATCCAAAAATGGGCATCTGAAATGAATAGAGACTTTTTAGATGAAAAATACAAATGGCAAATCAATATATTAAAAAAATGTTCAACATCTCTGGTTATTTGAGAGATGCAAATTAAAACAATGCTGAGATTCCATCTAACCCAAGAAAGAATGGCTATCATCAAGAAATCAACCAATAACAAATGCCGGTGGGGCTGTGGGGGGAAAGAAACCCTTCTCCACGGCTGTGGGAGTGCAGACTGGTCCGACCATTGTGAAAATGATTGTGGGTAATCCTCAAAAAACTAAAAACCCAGCTACTCCCCTTCTGGCTGCGTTCCTGAAAGAATTAAAGCATCAGACCTCAGTGACACATGCATGCCCATGTTCACAGCAGCCCAGTTTGTAAATAACCCAAATGCCCATCAACCAACGAATGGATGAAAAAGATGTGCTTTTTTTTTTTTTTAATATAATGGAGTGCTACTCTGCCATAAAGAAAGGTAAATTTGAGACATTTCCAGCTAAATGGATGCATCTTGAGACCTTACTCTTAAGTGAAAAAAATCCGACACACCTGTTTAAATACTGCATTGTTTTTCTTGTATGAGAAACCAAAAGTGTGAGCAGGGACCAAAATGTATAGCAGATATTGGGAACAGGAACAAAATATCATGTGAGAAGGGGAACAAGAGATGGGGGGAGGGGTAAAAAAGAAGGGACAGGAAAAAAAAGAACAGAAGGAAGCAATGATATTTATTACAGCATCATTTGTAAGAGTAAGACAATGGCAATTACATCATCATTCACCAAGAAATAAAAGGGTAATTCATTTATAATAAATAAATAAATATTTTAAAAACTCAAATGTGAGCCGATTCTTCAAACAGCCGGAAATTTACTTTATTACAGGAATATCTAGGTTTTTAAATACAAGCTTCAGAAAATTTCTATGAAGTAGGAAATGCACATTTTATACTTTATCTTCAGACATCACAGGATATCTGTGGACATGTGCTTAAAGTGAAATACTTGCAACATTCTCTTTTATTTTAGTTTGTAAGAGAGGTAATAAAGAGTTCAGCACAAAATAAGTCTGCAAGGGTCTAATCAGTTGCCCTGTGATAAACTTCACTCTGCTCCAGATCTGCCATTCTTTTTATTTTAAGAAGCAGAAAGTGAGTCTGGGCCTAGTGAGCAAGTCCTGGCTGCTGCTAAGGCGGACGGATGTCAAACGCTGATGCTTCGTTCCAAACCCCTCAGTAACTGCTTAGTATCTCACATCATGGTAGCGCACTACAGGCCCTCGCAGGAGGTGAGGGGGGAAGAGCCCCAAAGGAGTAGGAGAAGACAACACAAGACTGGTCCTAGACCAACACTGACGCAAATTAACGTACCCTTAGGGCTGCTCATGATGAGGGATGAGGAGGCCCAATACTACTATTTCAGTGAATGGAGGGGTCAAGTCAACTCATTCCGGGAGTGTGTCTCACTGTCTGGAGACTCCGATTCTGTAAAAGCAGGATGGGTAGAGTACTACTTCCAGAACAATGAGCATCGGCACTTCGCAGCTTTGGTTGAAGATAGGTGATACATAACCATGCAAAGATGAGGAATAAGGACCGACACAGGCTTCAGTCCCATCAGGGAAAGTAGCTGCTGGGTGTGAGGTGTAGTAGGCTGGTTTCCCAGACTGCTGGCTAAGAGTAAGGACTCAAGCATAAAATTTCTCCACCAGAAATAGGTAGCCATCAGCAAGGTTAATCTCAAGAATTTGGTAAAATGACTGGCTAGATAAATACTATGCATAATCGTTTCACCAGACCCCTCCCTATTGGCAACTTGCATGTTATTTCCTACCAACTGAAAAAGCAGAGCTAGACCACCTTAGGCTGTTGTCTATGGCAGATTCTCATGAGAGCTCAGAAGACCAGAAAGCCAATAAAGACCAGGCTCCAGTTTCTACTGGGAAGAACGACTGCACTGGCTGTTGGATTCCAGAGGATGTGTGTTATGCCTTGGCAGAAAGTTTGTCTGCATTTTGCTCATGTCCAGTGATTTTACCTGAGACTGACAGTAAGGGCAGCAGACTAATTAATCCTGTAGAAAAAATTTTAAGGCAGTTTAATGTTAAGGCAGTGGCATGGCTACTGTTGGGGGCTTTTAGCCTAATCTATGTTGAGAATCAAGACCAAGAACACAGCAGAGTGATTTAAAATGGGAGTTTGGCCAAAAAGGAAGCTCCAATAAAGCTGTAGACTGCAAAGACAGAGCACAGGAGATCTGACTGCAGAGAAGGAACAGGAGAATAGAAGAGATGGCCTGCGGGCATCACAAGCAGCAGCAGGACTCCACCTTTTGCAGTCTCAAAATTGCAAAAGTGAAAGAGAGAAAAGAGAGCCCTAGAGCACCACGTTCCAGAATGACAGCGGAGAGAATTCATTCCTCAGAATTGGGTCCAGTGCTCAGAGATCTAGGCACTCAGCCCCTACAGCCAAGAGTAGGGGTTGCTCGCTCTCGCTCTCTGCTCTCTTGCTGCTTTGCTGTCTTCTGCCGCCATGAACTGTTGCTTCTGTGCCCTGTGCCACCCTACGCTGGAGCCAGCCGATTATGCACTGAAACCTCCACATACTGTGAGCTAAATAAGCCCTTCCCCCTTTAACTTTGGGTGTCAGGTATTTTGTCTCAGCAACAAGAGAAAAGAAACTAAGACAAACATCATGGCAGAAGAGCAGGGTGGAAAAAAGTTGCGCATCTCCTGACAGCCACAAAGAAGACAGTGAAGGAAAGAGCTAGACAGGAAGAGGTAGCAGACCAGACATAAAGTCCCGGTCATGCCCCCGCCGTCTCCTTCCTCCACTAGGCTCACCCCTGTTCCCATCACCTCCACCACTGCCACCAAACTACGATCTCATCAATGAACTGGTCCACTGGATGAACTCAGAACCCAAGAGCTGGCAACCAAGCCCTCAGGGCAAGAGTTCTGAGAGACATTTCAAACTCAAACCACAGCAAGACAGAAAGAAAGGTCTGCTGAGTTCATCAGTGGATTTCATCCAGGTGGCTAAAAATACAGTGAAAAAACACTTAGGAATGTACTTCACACACATGACAAGAACACCAAAATTTGAGGTATCCCACTGGAAATGATGTGGGCTAAGAAAAGTACCAAGCCCCTAAAAACTTTCCAGTAGAATTCAGAATATAGTGAAAACACTTTGTTACAATACTGCACAGAAGTAATATTCTCAATAATGCTTAAATGTGGTTTCCAAGTATTAGAGGCTTAGAATCTTCTCTTCTACTCAAGTACAAGACTTGTACTTCTAGATCCATTGCTCCCCAGCAATTTAACAATAGAAAATAGAAATATTTCTGTGTATAATCCAACACACCCTCTCTTCATCATAAGCCTAAAAATCATTTGCTATGAACATCCCCAAAGTGAAGCAAAAATATGGTTATCCCAAAGAGAAATGAAACGAGTTATTATGGAGAACCTGCAACCTTCCAGGCAGAGTGCTAAAATCAGTTATGTTATTTTTAATCTTTAATAAAATAGCTCCAAGTGGGTATTAGTATTCTCTCTTTCCTTTCATTACACACAGAAAGGCCCCAAGCAATACATGGACTTTGCAATGAACATCAAAATGGGCGGTGGGGTTTGGGCGCAGGTCAGGCAGGCTCCAAAACCGCCTTCTTTCTACTACTTCCTGCTGCCTCTGGCTGGCACCATCCTGTCAGGAACATCCTCTACAGCAAGAAAGGGACACAAACGCCCCTTCCCAAACATCTGTGGTACCATATCCACACCTCTCCTTTTTGCTCTCTAGCTCCCACCCCCCAGAATTTCATCCCCGGGTCCACATTATTCTTATCCATACATTATGGCAAAGCGATGCAAAAATCTGCAACAGTATGTTATGACATGCCACCTTCCTTGAGGTGTTATTTGTAGGACAGTCCAAAGGTAACACAGGACACTTCACATTTTCTGTTTTAAAATTTACACTAAGCAGAAAGTATTTTTAAAAACAACATCATGTATTCTAAATGGACACCCGCAGGGAATCACAGCCCATTTCCCTCTCTCTACGGTGGGTAATTTTGTGTCAAAGGGAGGACTGTGGTGAGGACTTACCCTCTCCATCTCTTTGAAGTCATCATCGAGCTTGGTTCCTTCAGCTCCTCCAACCTTCTCACTCACTTTCTGTAGAAAATAACACAAGAGAATTATTATAAATAGTCCCTTTCATAAAGATGTATTAAAATTGTAACCACTTTCAATGTCACCTAATGTAATCTTACAACCACTCTGTGATTTATGGATAGTCCTTCATAGCAGGAGACTGGCTCAGAAGGGTCAAGCAACTTGCCAAAGGTCATGTACCTTACAGATATTAGAACAGTTCCAACTTCTATCCCATGATCTCAAACCTGGAGCTCTTTCTACTACATAAACATTATACAGAATCGCTGGAATTTTTCTTATAAAGTTCTTAGGAAGAAGAGCATCATACAGCCATTATTTTCTTCTGCTAATGGATCTAAAATGTTAGCTTGGTAGAAAATTGCTATTTCTTCTACCTATTCCTCCACTGGCGACTGAACAGATAACCACAGCATATACCAAACTATTAATGTAAAAGAAATTAAATCAGCCCAACTTATCTTCAGATAAAAAGATCTGAATGCCAGCCTTACAGAGCTCCCTGTTGCTGTCTGTATCCTTACATATATAGAACAAACTAGGTGAAAATGTTGAAAGGATTTCCTTTCTATCCTATCACACATTATCGCATATTTTATGTTTATGAATTAACATGCAAATTATCAATTTTGACTTAAAATTCATATTAATAAAAACTAAATATCCTATGCTTTTCAAAAATAAAAATTCAAATTACATGTAAGGAAAAACAGGAACATTGCAAACACAGTAATATTGAATGCTAATGAAATGACTCATTCTCCTTAAAATAAACTAACTTTGAAGGCTGATGGATGTTTTCCCCAAGGACCTCATATATTACATAAACTTATCACACACAAACAGTGAAGAATAATTTCTGCTTTCTTTCAGTAGCCACCAGGTTGAGTCCTTCTAGGGGATCCCACCCTGGCCACGTTGCAACAATCTCAGCAGCAACCTGAACTGTTCATTGAGTATGCTTCATCTCTCTTTTTAAGGGGGCCTCTGGATACACAGATCTAGCTCCTGAGCATGGAAGCTCTGACAGCCCCTTGTTGGAGCTTGAGGCATATTTCTTACTCTCTCTGTCCATCCTTTACTGCTGCTTTCTACCATCAAGGAAACCTTCAGGACAGACTACTTTTAGAAAGGCTGAAGACTTGGAATGCTTCACCATCCCAGCTCTGCATACCAGATGCCACTTCCTTTTGCATCAGTAGTAACAAGAAGAATATAACCTAGGGATACAGCGGGCATTGACTGGTTCTTCTACTCTTTGGCAGCCCCATGTAGCTGTTATGAAAATTATGTGGCATAGCAACCATAACAACCTGTATCTGAACCCACAAGGTACGCATCAAACCCTAGTTCCCTTCTCTTACCAAGAAAGTATGTGTCTGCTTATAGTATTATGGTTTCTCTCATCAGTTTATTTAACTGTCATTTCATACTTGGAGAAGAAGCTATCATTTTTCACTAAAATAATATAATCTTAGGGAGAAAAAGGTCAGTAATTCAAACTGAAAGTTTAACTAGTGTTTTTAATTTGTATCGCTGACACTGTTGTGTTCCCTAAGTGTGTAGAAGAGATATTATTACTATGCTGCACACAAAGAAACTGAGGGTTGCATAAATTAAGCTCTCCGTGGTAGGCATTTTTAGCTAGGAAGAGGTGGAATCAGGACCTGAATGCAGGTTTTCCATTCCAACCCTCAGGCGTCTTTAGGTCCACAGAAGGGCTTCAAGCACCGCTTCAAGGCGCTGTCCGTGGTGCTGCACTTCCGTGCCTGGTGTCAGATTTGATTCAAAAGGCCAGAGGAGGGTTCACTCACTTGACTCTATCTCTAGTATCAGCCTTCTCACTTCACCTGTGCCTTAAGTGATGCTGACTATCACGTACTCCGCAGTTTGCAGATTCAGGCTTTGCCTAACAATGACACTACCCTATCTGAACCAGCACCCATCTTCTCTGCCTGCATCCTAAAAGATTTTTACCAAACCTGAGATGAGAGAGGAAAATAAGAGAGGTTCTACACTGGAATTCAGTTTAGAGCCCCTTCGTGGAATTCCAAGTCCCAATCACTTGACTTTCATGTTCATGTTCAGGTTTAAATTACAGGAAATTAGTAACAGAAGAGAACTTAAATGTTATTAATACCAGATTGCCCCATCACCAAATTTTTACTGTATTACATTCATTTCCTCCCATTTTGCAGTCTCATTTTTGTCAAAGAGGATCATGACAGCTACCCTCATATGAACTGTAAATGGCACATTTAGTTTCATTTGTAAAATGTACACAAAAGCATTTACTGCAAAATACCCTTTTATGTAAAATTAGGATAATCACATTTTAATGACTTCATCCAAATTACAAGGGCTTACATTACACTTCCTGTATCACACTGCTCAACTGAGAGCAGCTTCCTTCCTCCCCCACCATTTGCATTCATCAACAGCTCAGCACCACAGTCGCTGGCTCACTATATCCAGTGGAATGCTGAGTTAACACTGGCCATCAGTAACCTAAAACTAGCCCTGCAAACTCACAATAATGCCAGTTCGTCAGTCACTTCCTTTATAACCCCGCACACCAAACAATAACTTCCGTGGAAGTAGAACTGAAAGGAAGGTAAGGAGAGAGACAGGAGAAGAGAGCAGGGCAGCACAAGACACACAGCAAGAGAGATCACCTCTTTTTTCTACAGAAACTGCCTTTTACGTTGTTCTAAGAGGAACAGTTCACCAAGCACAGTGAATGATGCTAGGCACTAGACACTGATACTGGCCTGACTGGTTAGTTGATATAAAAATTTCTCATCTAATCATATTCCTGAGGGGGGAAATGTATTACTCAAAACGACATCTACGTTACTCTCTGGGCTATTTTTCTAAGTCACAAAAGATCTAAATATACCAAGGCACTGAACTAAACACTGGGCTACATAACAACTGAGTCACTGCTTAGGAAAATGGCGAATATCTTCTGTCCCTTGAGCACATGTTACTAAACTTCACTTGTCATATGCACAAGAAGCAGAGTGAAGAATAAAGACTCTCAGAGCCCATCTGGCCAGTAACAAAGACATTTGTTTTCTTCACCTCGTACCATTTAAAATTTTGTATTATTATTTTCAGTGAGGTAGCTTCTAAAACAAAGATTTCATGATGAATTTTCCTGATGCTGTTTAACATTATTTGACTAAAAGATTGCTACTTGAGGAATGAATGACCTATTCAAACAAACTTTAGGAAATATCTGAATTAAACAGAACAGTGAAAGTGAGCCAGTGTGTGCTTCTGTACCATGTACAAACCCAAAACAATTCCTGAAAATAATTCCACAGTCCTTTCTAGAAACCTAAAAGTATTGAGAGTGCGAGATCTTCAATGGGACCCTTTCAGTACAGCACTGAGAGCTTGTACTTCAGATCTTAGCTTGAACTTCCCATGTATTCTGTATTCTCAGAAATCCTACCATACTCTAGTTTCTTATCATGTTCTCACAAGAAGGCTCAAAAAAAATCTGTCAAATTGGATTGCAAGGTACTTTTGAGAATATTGCCATTAAGATGAGAGAGGGAAAGATGCCATACAGTGGGATAAATAAAATTAATCACCTCACTTAGGGACGGTTTTTCAAAATGGCACAAATTCCAAGAGAAAATAAATAATGCAATAGGCTCAGTTTTAAATTACGTCTTTACTTTGCATCTGCAGCAGTGACTGGTTCATGCTATTTTCTCCTGTACCACATAAGAAAAATGACAAAGGGAATCAGCAGCAAGAGACATCTTAAATAAACAGCTGCTACTCTCAGCCCAAAGGATTCTGCACTGCTTTCCAGCAATGATTCATCCACCCTCAAGTTATCTGTCATCTCCAGACAAGAAACACTTCATCTTCCACTGCAGTCTTGATTCTTTCCAGCGATGCATTCTGCATTCTAAACTCTGAGAAGCTACCTGCAGTTATCTCCAATAAAGGTCTTCTAGAGGTCCACAACAGCACTGACACTTAATAGGCTTAAGACAAATACTACTCGAACAATCCCACACCTGCGAAGTTATTTATCTACTAATTTCCCATTTTTGCTGTTTTATCTCCTATTGTTCAAGCCAGATTCCCTTACCATCTATAAGACGTGTTTGGCTTATTTCCTCTATTTTATACCTGAATCTACTTCCTTTTTTTACTCTTCAAGTCACTGAGTATATTAAATGCTCATTCAGATTTCACCTCCCCTACCATCTGTGATTATCCAGCCTAGCTGTAGCTATCATCCTTTGAGCTCTTAATGAGACTCATTTGTTGGACGATCTGAAACTACGTAATGAGCAAAACTGCTGAGGGTTTTGCTCACCTGACCTGTAAGATGGTAAAGGCAGGATGCATGCTGCATGCATTTTATTTGAATACATCTGACACTTCAGTACCAAGTACAATGATTTAAAGCAGAAAAAAATTATCTCAGTGAGTTATTCTTAAACCAAAACTTTAATGTAAGTTAAAAGGAGAACACTTGACTGAGTTAGCATCAGTTTTGTACTTACTTTATAAGAGTATAGTCTCTCCTCTAAAACTAATATCCTTCGCTATCAGAACAGCCGTAAAATTAGGAAATTCAAGTATGATGTATATTTTATTTATACCCAAGGCTGAAGGAAATTCTATCTTCATTGTAACAATCCTACATTTATCCACTATGTTACTTTTAGTATAATTACAATTCAATTATTACATTATTCCTACTAATCTCAATGCTACCTAAGTATAGGATACGTGTTTTAGCTTATTTGCATATATTTATATACATATGTTGGTATATTTGTGTGAATGTGTATAATCATACATTTATGATTGAAAGTAAGTATGTTCCCAAAATGCCTTTTACAAATCACTAAAATTTTGTGATTATACTACATGTTTACTCATATTAAGACAGAATTACTTTAACATTCAAATTAAGCATAGCTTGTTTTTAAGACCAGAAATCATAACACATATATTACCCTATT